AACTGAGGGGACTAGAATGGTAATTCTGGCCTGTCGGTAGTCAGCAATAAGGAAATTACCGTCCAGGAAGGGCTGATCTCTGAGTTTCAAAGTCATACAAAGTACAGCGACCAGTTGATAGTTTGCAAAAGGCGAACAGAAAATCGAGAGAACAGAGGCCATTTGTGTGTGATATGGATTATGGCGAAGGAGGCTTGCACAACGTTGACCCGCCGAATTTTAAATAAAAATATTAGGTGAGGGAGAGTACATATAAGTATGAGGACAGTGATTGGCCAGGCACATGATCATACCACGCGTTTCACAACACAACTGGTGGCCTTTCCGTAACCAAACTAGGGTTTGCCTGACAGAAGCGCTTACGGGGCGGTACCTGCGGCGTACATTTGAGATGCTAGTTTCCGGGGGAGATCAGACTGGAGTGACCATCTCGGGCAGCCACAGGCATCCCATCGATTCCCAAGTCATTTATCGCTGGGTCACATACACACGCGCTCTTTCGACTGTGGTTGTACATATACGCACGAAGTGGAACTGTTGTTGCAAGAAGAAGTGCACGTACTCAGTCTAGATCGAGGGACCGATCCGGGTATCATGCCTGCGGGCACTGCACAGTAGAAGGAGATGAGCAGACAGAGGCACGAAGACTAGTAAGAAAATTTCGATCTTCTGTGCCTATGCATGTACATCCTCATAAAACAACCATTTGCAGATTCTGACGTATCACGAAATATCGTACTGAGCGAACGATACTGAACGGTCTGACGTGAGTTCGTTCTACCGTCGACCATGTCACATGAGAAACTAAGCGGGACCCTTTGATAATTAATAGCGACTGTTTCTGGGCTCAGCGCGTTGTTAGAGTATTTGGCAGGGAGTCGCAGCTGCCCCAAAAGGTTAATGACAGTTTGACCGTCGATACCGACGATGTTCACTGTGCGCCCCGTAGTAATGTGGGCGCAGAGACGGCGCGGGATTTGGTAGTAGACTTGTGCTTCGTCTACTGTACTCCCTCCTCCCCCACCCGCTTGAGCCCGGTGTCATAACAGAGTTAAGAAAACCGTAGGCGGGATCGAGCGCAGTGGCCGAGAAAGATAAACAGCCTGTCTGCGCGGGCCACACAGGACCTGGTCCCCCACAAAGCACACGAGGTTTTCGCCCAAAGGGGATATAAAATGACATACAGTTGGTGGGTCAACTTGTGAAATTTCTAAATGTGACGTCGACCAAAAACAATATTTAGGGGACGTTATAGTACTGGTTACCTCGCGGCATAATTCGAGCATATTTCGGCCGCGCAAGGATGCCGGCTCTTGAGGTCGCGTCTTCCCGGCCACAAGCGAATATCCCGCTCATTACTAAAAGACCACTTAGGCATAATACACTTTTCTCTTTCGATTCTCTTTTGAATCCAAACTTATTTTACTGAAAGCATACACAAAGACATCCTTGATCATATTAATTATGCAGCAAATTACGTCTTAAAATGCCAACTCAGGGAACAAAAACCAGGTCATCATGTGATGCGAGTTTTAGGGGTGGGGTTAAACGGCGGAAAGGAGAAAGCGATAGTAAGCAAACATTTGGATAAATGTTGAGGTGGCCTATCATGTCCTCGCGCTAGATTTATCCACGACTACTCGCAAAAGAGCACACGTACCAGGAACCTGATCCCGGTGGATGATGAGGGTATAAAAATATCTGCCGATGCAAGCAATAGCTGGACATTTTTTGCAGTTCTCCCAGTTTGTTTTCACAAAAGAAGTAGATTACGCTCCATCCAGTTACGTGAGCGCAGAAGCGCCAATCATAAAAAAGGCGAGGACGCGATATGCCACGATGGCCTGGTTTTTGTTCTCTGAATGGGGACTCATACAGCGTCCTTGCCGACGCCTTCCTTATAACACGGGGAAGTGCATGATTTTCTGCAAACATAAAGTTTACAGCCTGCAATGTAGAAATTCTAAACGCAAGTGCAGTGATTGATCAGGTTCAAGACTATTCAAGAATTGAAAAACAATTTAAGGCTGAAAAGTACACTGTATTTTTTAGAACGCTGAACCCGGGCAGTCGATGGCGGCAATGCGGCGCCTGCAGTCTACATCAACTTTAAGAAAGCATTCGACAGTGTACCGAATCAGCGTCTCCTGTACAAATTACGCCGAACAGGAATGAGGGGGAATCTCCTGAGGTGGATCCAAAGCTTCCTGATCGGTCGCTCTCAAATTGTCCACGTCGGTGACTGGCAGTCGGCGGGGGTAACGGCTGAAAGCGGTGTTCCTTAAGGCTCAGTCCTTCGTACTACCCTATTCATTATATACGTCAACGACTGCGTCAGTGAGCTGAATTCTGATGTCGCCATGTTCCCGGATAATGTTTAAGTTTGGAGCGTCATCCGAACTGGATTGGATGAAGAGCGCTTGCAGGCAGACCTGACCCGACTCGAGAAATGGTCACAGGACTGGCTTTTGCCGTTTAATGTGACTAAGTGCAATGTTTTGCGAGTCGGTGGAACCCGATCTCCGAGCCGGAGGGTTTACCACCTAAATGACATACCATTGCAGGAGGTAGACGCCCAGAACGACCTGGGTGTATGGGTAACGGCTTCTCTAAAACCGTTCCTCCACCGCTCCGCGATGTCAGTCCTTTATCTTGTCAAGCGAGCTTTTTCTACCTTAGATGAGAACTGCCTCGTTAAAGTCTTTCGGACATTTGTACGGCCACAGTTAGAGTTCGCTACTCAAACGTGGAAATCCTGGACCTCTAAAGATCTCAGCATCCTTGAAAAAGTTTAAAGGCGGGCAACCAAACTCGTTAGTGGACAGGACTGACTACCCTAGGAAACACGGCTATCCAATCTCGGCCCTTTTCCACTAAGCTACAGACAGCTAAGATACGACCTTATACAAACATACCGTATAATGCGCGGCCAGGACTGCTGTCTCTTACCTGCTGATTTCTTTGAGTTAGCAACCGCAACGAACCTCCGAGGTCATCCGCTTAAACTACGTGTGACTGGCGCCAGGCTGGACATGCGGAAGTTCTTCTTCTCAAACAGAGTGGTCGAGGCTTGGAATTCTCTGCCTGCAGATGTCGTCATGTCCACCTCCGTCGAGGCTTTTAAGCGCAAATTAGATCAATATACCACTAAACGTCATAATGTCACCTGGCCGACATCGTCTTACAATGTCGTCCCAAGTTTAATATTATTATATTACTGTCTGCATTTCAGTAACGTTAGATTTTTATTATTACCCCATGTCCGTTAAATGTGAGAGCTGACATTCAATTCGTCACCCTCAGAGACTGAGATCGCACCAATTACCCATAGACTTACTACTGTATAGCACATTTAGTAATGCTAATGCTTTCAAACACTTGGAACAGTTCGGTTATCTGACTGGTATCGAAAAATTTGCCAGTTTGAAAAAAAAACTTCCGTAGCTGCTTGATGTTTCCATTTTCAAATTTTTGATATAATTCGCTTCCTTGTAACAAACAGAGAGTTTAAAGGTTCAATACCTATGTTTCCCTAAAATAAACTGAAACTGAATAATTTACAACAGAATGAACATAGGAAAGTCTGCCTTAGTGCACATGATTTCTATGACTATGTTTAAATCTAAAAGGATACTGAAAGGCAAAAGAAAAGTGTATACGGCCTAAACACTTATTTTTGTCTTTTGAATTTTGCAGATGACCGGAAAGACACGTACACAAAGGCCGAAATCCTGGAATGACTGAAATATCTTTCGTGATAATCAATGCAACAACCCCATCTAATCAGCCTTTTCTAACTGAGATCACATTTCATTTAGGGCTATCCTCGAGACATCAATTCTGTATACATGGGTATTTGGTGTTGGGGTGCAGGGGCGTCCAGCTTTGGTTCCACATAAGGGTCGTAATAGGTCGCTTCACTTGCATGCAGGTGTTGGCTTCGCTTAGCGTTCCTTAACTGGCACCCAACTCTCACCTGTGGTTCCCTGAAGCTAGCCTCTGTCTAGCCCCGACCAGAGGGCCAAACCAGGTGAAGGTATCCGGTGGTGTGTGTCCCCACGCCCGGTAACCCTGTTTCTCCTCCAATCCCCCCTTCCCTTCCTTCCCCAATCCAACAAAGTCCTACGCATAGAGCGACATGCAGTCCCGTAAGCGGCCCAAGCTAACTCGGGTCGTTCCCCAATAAACAAAAATATGACCCATAGTGGAGATCGGCAGCCGTCTGGGAAGTTTAAACAGTCCTGTTTGGGGGTAAAACTGCTTGCCCCTGGCGGGAAAGGGACTAGAAAATGGGACCTGAACAAATAGTAGGTTCATGTCAGCTGCGTGTGGATTGTGGCTCCTAGATGCAAATCTCGTGGTCGAAACAAGAATCAATACTCTCTCTCCCCCCCTCCCCCCCCCTCCCCTCCGTCTCACCCTACAGGCTGCTAGGGTGAGTCCGCTCACTCTGGCAGCCTGGAATATTCGTTTTCTTTTAGACAATCTGAGAAGCAACCGACCGGAACGAAGGACGGCGCTATTCGCTCGGGAATTGGCGCGCTACCAGGTGGACATCGATGCATTCAGTGAGATACGGTTTTTCGAACAGCGTCAGCCGGAGGAGGTGGGTGCCGTACACCTTCCCCTGGAGCGGTCGCCCCAGCGCAGAGCGATGTAACGTGGGCATCGCCTCTGCCATCGGGAACGACATCGTGGGACGGCCGCCCTGCCTTCCACAGACTATCAACGACTGACTGATGAGCCTGCGCCTGCTTCTTCGGGGGTCCCAATTCGCCGCCATCCTCGGCGCCTATGCCCCACAAATGATCGGCACAGACGAGATCGGTGACTGCAACGACAATGGCCTCCCCCTGCGAACTTGCGCTGAACCCCACCTCCTGCTGACCAACCCCTTCCGTCTGCCGATGCGGAAGAAAGCTCCCTGAATGCACCCCCGATCACGGCGCCGGCGGCTGCTGAACTATGCTGTCGTCCGGCGGCGCGATCGATAGGATGTGATGGCGACCAAGGCGATCTGTGACGCCGACGGCTGGACGGACCTCCGCCTCGTCATCTTCAAGTTGAGGCCCCGTCTTCAACCCCGCAGGAAGCCTCAAGGTGAACGACCTCCAGGTAATTTAGATACCGCCTTACTGTTTTTGCCTCCCTACCATTCAGATTCCGACAATCAGTTAGCTCAGCACCTGGAAGACCTGCCGGCCCCGGACGACAACGCTAGCGTAGAGACTAGGTGGCTTCAACTGCAGAACGTCGTCCACCCGACTGCCCTGAGCCTCCTAGGTCGTGCACGTCACTAACACCGGGATTAGTTCAACAACAACGACAACAACAACAACAACAACAACAACAACAACAACGCAGCCATCAGCAACCATTTTGCTGAGAAGAACAGGCTACATAGAGCCTAAATTGACCATCCGACCGATGTAAACAAAGCGGCCTTCCACCAATGTTGTCGCCTTGCGCAGCAACGATTGCGAGAAATACAGGAAGCATGGATGGCTGGATAAGTCGAGGAGATTCAGGGGTATGCCGACCGTAGCGAAAAAAGTCCCATATTGTGAAGTGCTGGGCCGGGTAATTCAGAAGCGTCCTAAACCGTGCCGCCAAAATATCCGACGCCAACATCGACCGGCTGACCCAAGCGGAAAGCAACATCTACCTGGATCTTGCACCCTCCCTTCCAAAAACCATCCGCTCTCCAGCGGGGAAGCACCAGGCTCCGACGCAATCCCAGCTGAAATCTACAAGCATAGCGGCCACCGATTAATGGGTCACTTCATAGCGTTCTTCCAGGACGTGTGGCGTATCAATCGTTCACCTCTACAAGCGGAAAGGAAACGGACAATTTCACGACAATCATAGAGGAATCTTGCTGCTCAATATCGGAAGGAAGATCTTCATCGGCATCCTCTCTAACAGCCCCAACGGCCATCTAGAACAAGAACTTCTGCTGGAAAGTCAGTGTAAATTCTGGCGACATCGTGCAACCGTTGACCTGATCCTTGTCTCCCGCCAGATACAGGAGAAGTGCCAGGAGATGCGGACTCACCTCTACACCTCCTTCGTAGACTTGACGGAAGCCATCGACACTGTAAATAGTGAAGGATTTTGGAAGACCATACAGAAGTTCGGCTGTCCCATGCGATTCGCGCACATGGTACATCAGGTCCACGATGGGATGTTGAGGTGCTTTACGGACGACGGCGCAATCTCCGAGGCATTCACAGTGACCAATGGAGTGGAGCAGAGGTGCATACTAGCGCCCACCCTCTTCAGCCTCATGATTTCTGCCATGCTGATGGGCGCCTTCCATGGAGAGCGTCGCGGGATCCTCATCGAATGCATGGACCGACGGGCATCTTCTCAACAGCCGACGAATGCAGGTCTCAGCGCGTCTTTCCACGCCTACTGTCCACGATCTGCTCTTCGCCGACGAGTGCGCCCTCGACACTACGAGCATAGAAGACATGCAACGGAGCATGGATCTCTTCGTCTCCAGCTGCGCCCACCTCGGACTGACCATCAATGAGGACAAGATTATGATCATGCATAAACAGCCACCGGACGCTAAATACAATGTCCCTCGCATCCACGTCCACAGCACCGAGCTGAAGACCGTGGACAACTTCACCTACCTGGGCAGCCTAGTGTCACGCTACATCCGAATCGACAACGAAATGGCCCACTGGATCACGAAAGCCAGCTAGGCCTTCAGCCGGCCACAGAACTTCATGTGAAATCGCCATAGCCCTCACCCCAACACGAAGCTGTAAATGTACAAGGCTATCAATTTGAGAACGCTGCTGTATGGAGCGGAACCTGGACAGTCTACGCAAAACCCGTGCTGAAGTTCAATCCTTTCCAACTCAATTGTCCCCGAAGGATACTCAAGCTGGGGTGAAAGGATGAGATTCCGAACACGGGAGTTCTCGAACGAACAGGAATTCTCAGAACCTGCACCATGCTGAGGCAACTGCAACTACTTTGGAACGGTCACCTCGTGAGAATGAAAAATGCACGTCTACTAAAACAACTCTTCTATGGTGATGTCACTACGGGTGCCTACTGACAAGGAGATCAAATCCGCCACTATAAGGATACCTTGAAGAACTTCTTGAAGCGTCTTAGTATCAATCAGAAGACTTGGGAAGATCTCGTACAAGACGGGCCAACCTGGAGAATTGCAGTGAGGACTAGAGCAACAATCTACGAAGCAAACCGGATAGTCGCCTCCAAAACCAAAAGGGAGGCTCGAAAGTCACAAGTGCCTTAATTCTACAGTACTAACGACCAGCCGCTCCCAACATTCCCGCACTGCCAGCACCCATTCCGCGCACGAATAAGCCTTGTAGGATACCTTCGAAGGCATTCCAACAACCCGGAAACGCCAACTTTTCCATCCACGAACACTCCTACAGTCGCCCATTCCTCAAATCTCACGTTGACGACCACCCCCGTCACAGGTGATCACAGTGTCGATGCCCCGCAGTCATCGATAACCGGAATCATGCGTCTTGCCCCAACCCCTGCGTCGATCACAGCGACCAGCTTCTCCAACATCACGATCTCTCGCACTCCCCCCACTGATGGGACCCCATCCTACGTCCATTCATCCACTACCATCGCCGCCAGCATCCACACCGCCGGCGAGATGGATACGGTACCAGCCTGTCCATAATGCGATCACACATTCACCTCACTAATCGGCCTGGTCGGTCACTTGCGAATCCATCACACAGAGATTGGCAAACCAGTGGCTAGAGCACCCACACACGCTAGCTGCATCCGTCTTCCCTGTCCACACTGCCCAAGCACATTCATTCACCGCATGGACTTATTCGGTCACATGCGTATCCAAGACAGCGGAAGTCCCCGCAAAATCGACACACCTAGCACACCCAAAATGATTAGTCCAGTCAGTGTCCCATCGCCCAGAGTGTCCATCACTAACAACAGCAGCAGCCCCACCATCACCATCGAAACCGATTCTGCAGCTTCTGGCCCATCCTGCCCAAACTGCATTCACCTCACACATCGGCTCAGTTATTCACTTACGAACCCATAACCGGAGACTGACGGACCAGTACCTGGAGACCCACATACACCACACGCAATCACCTTAACCGCCCGCATTGCTCTCGACAATTCAGCCATTGCAAGGGCTTGTTTGGTCGCATCCGCCTTCATGAAAACCTTCGGAAAATCACCACACATTCCCTCATCAACACATGCATCTTGCATACAACCTCCAAAAATCACACAACACTGGTACCTCTCACGTAAGTGAGAAGTGTGTTTTTCGACTCCTTTCGCCGTGTGACCCATCTTCCTCGCCTGAGATCCGAGCACTCTATCCCCTTGTGCACGAAATCCTGGTGTGTGTGCGTTTTGGTGGCCAGATCGTGCGTGTGGTGCGCGCAGACAAGGTCATTTGATATGTCAACCACCGCGCCAATTCCCCGTACCTGTCGACTGACCTCCTCGGATAGTGACAGGGGCCTGAGAATGGGAAGGCAGAGTGAGCTTGACGACTCAGAGCAATTTCCTCATTATAAACAACCTGACGCGTTTGAAGCTATCCCGGTGCACCAAAAGCCGTGGGTAGGAAGGTTGCTAACTGACGGGATTATCTGGACCTCGAAGTCTGCCCCATGTGTGTTTGTGTGGAGTGGTCAAGTGGTGAATTGAGAGTACACTTGCAATGGCTCCTTTTTAATGTAGCCTTTATGACACTTCCACTCCGTGGGATCCGAGCCGCATGTGGCGGCACGCCTAGGGGCGGCTCCGACCGTGCTAGGCAGCTGCGCCCCCTCCCAACTCCGGTCTTCATGAGTCTGTCTTGACACTGGGCCCAGGTGGGAGAGGAGGAGTGGAGTGTGCGTTAGATGCTGCGCAAGCCCACACTCACTATAAACTAAATCTCGCGCAGGTCACCGTGCCTGCTCTCACCTCGCTGTGGAACACACAGTGAACACCGTCGGCAGCGGAGGTCTAACTGTCGCATTTGGTGCTTGGTGTCCAAGACCGGTCAGGCTGGAGGTGTCTTCAACCAAAAGGAAGGTCAGATTGCTTAACGACGTGCGTTAATCGGACTAAGGGTACGCATTTAGCGCACAATCGTGTGGTGGCACGCCTTGTATGCATAGCAACCTATATACAACTTACAGCAGATGTGCTACGTCATGAAATGTGGATCAAAATTGGGAAATGTGTCTTAAATTCGAAAAGATTTCTTAAATAGGGTTCTAATATTAATTATAGAACAGCATAGTTTTAGAATATTTCAGTATACCAGGGTGTTGGCTTTCGAATGAGCTTCTTTTCGGTTGTCTGCAAAAAATGACTAGTTAAATAATATGAATTTTTCCCGTCGATTTTCTATGCCATTATAAATTTAAATATATGTTACAGAAAACATGCACAAAAATATCCTCTCTTGTACTGACTTGATATAAAACTGTGTCTACAAATTTTCTACTTGAAGAGACAGTACATCTCGGTCTTTAAGGAGCCTTTTTGTCCCAACTGTCGTTACACTTACACTCGGGATTTCCAAGCTACACGCTGTCGAATGAATGCTAAACACGGAGTGCTCCTTCAAGACTCTCACTCAAGGCTTCGCGAATGCCACACATTTCTCTACGCTGTTAAGAAGGCCTCACAAAACTGTTCAATGAATGTGGATCAAATTGTGTACTTCATAAGTGGCCATGTTGTATGAATGTACACTTCACGGCCATAAAATTATCATAATCAGAAAATTTAAAATCAAAAGATACTTCCTCCTCAGGCAGAAAATTTGGAGAAGACGCAATTTGCTACCAAATGAGTTCAAGAGAGAATATTTTTGTGTGATTTTCTATACTATATTTGAATTTATAACGGTATAGAAATGACAATTCGACCATCGTGACCCGCGATGTCCACCGTGTGTTCCACAGCAGGAAGAAAGCGGGGACGGTGACTTGGGCGTGGATTAACTTATAGTGATAGTAGTCTTACGCAGTGTCTGCAGCACTTTCCCCTCCTCCCCCACCTGGCACCGGGATCAAGACAGAGTCCTGAAGACCGGAGGTGTGAGTGGGTGTAGGGGGATGGCGCAGAGAAAACCCGCGCCTGCAATCAGTGACCGATCTCATGAAATGTTAACCAGAGTTCTGAAATGCGTTTGCAATTAGGAAGGCTTACTTAAGTGAGGCCGTAATACAGACTATCTTGCGACTTAATCTCGCAATGTTTCAGACACACCAAGCTATTGGCTTTTGAATGCACTTCTTTTCAGTCACCTACAAAACCGCACTCGGTAAATATGGCTTCTCGACCGATATGCACTTTTTATATCGATTTTCGATGCCCTTTTAGATTGAAAATATTTCGCAGAAAATATGCACGAAAGCATTCTTTCCTATACCCTTTTGTTAGCCAATCACGTCTTCGTCAATTGTCATACTCGAAGAAAGGGTACCTTTCGGTTTTAAAAAGTTTTTATTTGTGAAGTCTTTGAAGACCGTGAGATATCCATTCGAATACCATCGTATCCATATGTTTAATAGTACTCTCCGTTAAGTACGCAACATAGTCCGAATCCGTTGCAACATTTTATGAGTTTCTTATGGTATTTTCTTAATAGCATAAAGGAACGAATTTTTCTCATACGGAAAGAATATACCTTATGCACGTAAAGCCCTAAACAAAAATGCAACGGTAAGTCGAGTTAAAAATTATTCGGGAATAGAAGACTTCCTTAAAACTAAGTGATACCCTTTCATCGAATATGAAATTCGAAGAAAACAGGATTTGCTACCACATAATTACAAGAAATGATTTTTCCATAAAAGTTTTCTATAAATTGCATTTAACTTTGCAAAGGTATCGAAAATTGACGAAAACGCACATTACTTAAGCAGTCACCTTTCGTCCGCTGCGGTTTTCGCAGGCGGACGAAAAGAAGTTCATTCAAAAGCCGACATCCTGGCGTGTCTGACATATCATGGAATTTTGCCACAAGATAACCAATATTACAACCCGACCAAAGTAATCCTTCCAGATGGAAAACGCATTTTGGAGTTTCAGTCGGCATTTCATGAGGTCGCTCGCTGACTGCAGGCGCATCACCACAACCTATGGTCCACAGCGGACACTGACCACGATTTTAAACAACAAATATGGGATGGCGGTTCGGATCCCGACTGGTGCGGTGTGAACCTGCAACTGGGCCTGCTACAACACCCCCTTCCGATACGGACATTTTTTGTGGGTGCGTATTCCCGATAAGGCCTGACGGACTCCGATCTAGCCCGGTGTTGCGTCGGCACATCTATCGCGTGGCCTGTTTTAGGGGTCTTCACACTACGTCAGCCACTGCACCCAATCCCAACCCACATGGGTTGGCAGATCCGGCCAGTTAACTGGTGCACGAGTGAGGAAAGTGGCAGTGAAGCCGACACTGGGGAATTCATCAACACGGTGAACTAGCACATTTATCAGCGCAATAATGCTGATGCGCCTGAATCTTAAAGTCGTAGCTTCGTAGCCTGGCAATTGACGGGATAACGCGGTCCTTATCAGGAATGAGGTCCAGGCTGTAATGACTCCATCTTGATGTGGCACTCTATCTTACGTGAGATTCCATAAACGGCTTATTTCGGGATGCAAGACGCCAAGTTGCAAGAGTTAGACCAGCAACGACCGGGGGACCTGAGGTCAG